GGCCCAGTCGACCTTGGAGCGCCACTTGCTCCCGCTCTGCTGCCCCTTCGGTCGCTGCCAGTCGTTGAGACACTTCACATTCTCATAGGCCTTCCAGATCGCGTAGAGACGGAGGCAAGTGAGCTCCGCCGCGGGGCTGTTGATGAGCTGGTCGTAGGCGCCCTCCGCCATCATGCGGTCCAGCACCATGGCCAACATCATCACCTCCGAGCTGATGCTCGCCCGCTGCAGCTCCTTCGACCTCAACCACTCGCCCAGCTCGATCTTGGCCGTGCGCCCCGAACGGTACAGCTTGTGCAGCACGGTCGGCGCGACCCTCGTCTTCACGCCGCCCACAGGCGTCATGCGCACATGCTTGAACTTCTCGAGGGTGGCCAGCAGGCCGTCGCGCGGGTTGCGGCTCTCCTCCTTCAGCAGCTGGATGCGATCCTGCAGCTCCTCGTCGACGCGCCCGACCTGCTCCCAGGAGCCCGCGCTGTCGAGTGACTTCGCCGGGGACCCAGTGTCAGCAGTCGCCCGTGTAGAATCCGTCTGTACCGTATCCACGTGCTCGTTCAGCTTCGAGATGAAGTCGTCGATCTGGGATGTGGTCGGCTGCCCCTCACTCTCGCTCACGGACTGCGCCTCAGGGCTGGAGGGACCTGGGTCCGACGTTCGGTCTGAGCCACTAGAACGTGGAGGCGAGGTCCTGGCCCCGAAAGACTGTGTCGCAACTGCCCCAGTCAGGTCGGTCATCGCTCTCTGCAGGGCCTGCTGCTGATTGGCCAACTCCGCGAAGAGGCGCCGCGGGGACGGCTCGTCGTCGGAGTCGGCAACCTGAGTCCCCAGGACCCTGTCATCCTCGTCGTCGCTGATCGTGGAGCCCCTGTCCGAGTCCGAGTCGCTCGAGTCGCCGTAGGACCACGCCCAGAGAAGGTACCCCGTCACCAGCGTCCCGCCGATGGCCACGAGGACGTACTCCAGGTCCCCGCTCTCGTAGTACTCGTAGATGGTGTCATACACGTGCTGAACGTCCTCAATAGTCTCGTAGACGGCTCGGGCCCCATCATAGGCAGCTCGGAAGATCGAGCCCAGGCGGAAGAAGCGCCACGCACGCCAGCACAGGAAGGAGATCGCGCTCCACGAACCCCAGCTCCGCTTGGCCCACAGCGCCGTGAAGAGGTTCCCCACTCCGCCCGTCAGCCACGCGACGAAGCCACCCTTCGCACTCTTCTTCTTCGACTTCGGCGGGGGCTTGCTCACCTTCAGCTTCCCGTTCTCAGAGTCGACCTCGAGCCTAGCGATCGCCCTCTCCGCCGCGGTGATGACCGCGTCGCGGGCCCGAGCCGACACGCCAGGGTGCTCCGTCCACTCCACGTTCGCCGTCGGCTTCGTCAGCACCCGCTTCTTGTCCCTCACGTCGATCATCACGATGCGATGGGTGGGGTCCGCTGCGGCCCACAGGCCCGGATGCTTCGCCCCTGCCTTCGTCACCAGCAGCATCACCACCCCCTGTGGCTTGGAGGGGCTCTTCACGTAGATCCTGTTCCATCGCGCCCACGGCGCCATCGTCCACCTGGTGGTGCCCGTGCCCTCGATCACCTCCTCCCCGTAGGCGTCGTCCGCGGCGCTGCCGAAGCCGCGCTCGAGGACCCCACTCTCGGGAATCAGGTAGTGCAGCTCCTGCACCACCAGGAAGAGCAGCACGGCGAGCACCCTGCGCGCCGTGATGACAGCCCCCGAGCGCCCCGCGGCGGGGGCACGGAAGCAGGCTGGTGCCTCGGTCCTGCGGGCGACGGGCTCGCTGGAGCCCCAAACCTGCTCGGACCGAAAAAGCTATGAGCACATACAAAGATAAGTAGAGTACAGACGGCCCACGACCCCGCACACTGAGACATAAAATATTGTTTGAAAACAGTTATCGTGAAACCGTGGGTAACAACGGTGAAGTGGGAGATCTCTGGTAGCGAAGGGTGTTGGTGCTGCTGCTGGTGCTGTTGTCTCTGCTGGTACTGCTGCTGCTGGTGCTGCTGCTGCTGGTGTTGCCTGTTCTCGTGCTGCTGGTGCCGCTGGTGTTGCTGCTAGTGCTGCTGCTGGTGGTGGTGCTGGTGCTGGTGCTGCCGCTGCTGCTAGTGCTGTTGGTGGTGGTTGAGGTGCTGCTGCTGCTGGTGCTGCTGGTGGTGCTGACACTAATTGTGGGAGCAGGCTGTGTAACAACCACCACGGACGCGTTGTCTCGGAGGCTTCTTGGCGCCATCTTGGGGGGTCTATTGGGGTTCTCTTGGGGGCCCTCTTGGGGCATTATTGGGGCTTTTTTTTGGTGTCTTGCGGCCCTCTTGGGGTTCTTTGTGGGGGTCTGGGAGGCCTCTTGGGGCCGTCTTGGCCCCCATTTGTTCAAAAAACGGGATGTCCCCCTCGGAGGCTTACAAAGGGCGTCTTGGCACCCTCTTTGGCTGCTCTTGGAGCGCTCTTGGGCGCTCTTGGGGCCGTCTTGGGGCCCTCTTCAGCCCCTCTTGGGGCTCCCTTGGGCTACCTTGGGCCCATCTTGAGGCCTCAAGAGCCCATCGGAAGCGAAAAAGCGAAAAGGCTCAAAAACACATTGTAGTTGCAAACGCTGTCGGCTATTTGATGCCAGACGATAGCAGACGATAGAAGACGACAGCAGACGAAAGCAGACGATAGCAGACGATATAAGACGATAGCAGACGATTGCACCCAAGTGCCTTGTTGCCTCCTGTTTGCCCCTTGCGGTTCCTGCCGGCCCCACAGCTGGTTTCGTGCTATCGTCAGTTTTCGTCTGCAGCGGGTCCTGGCAGCTCCCAGCTGGTCCTATC